GGTGTGGGTGATTAGCTTCTTCGGGATGCATAGCTGCTGTAATTGTTTCTTGTTGGCCTTAGTGACGAGCTTGGAAAGACTGATCTATATGATTTTCTGGTCTCATTCCCTGACTCTCGATTTATAGAATGAGCCATGCTTCTACAGGTTCTTTAAAGATGCCCGAGTCTTCCGCAATTGAAGCATCTCCTGCTTCCATTTTGGCTGTTTCGTTGCATATTTCGTAATATATTTAAGATCTGTCAGATGGTAGGTTGAAGAATAATAGCATTAGTATTGGCTTTCTTGGGATTTAATTTCCCTCACTTTTGCGCGAGAAGATCTGGATAGGAGTTTTACCGCTTCATATTCCTGGGCTGCAATCATTTTATCCCTCAGCGTCTTGTGATGTTGTAGACGAAGGACTTGCTGCATTTCCACATCTTGTAGTCCATCAATGAATGCTTGTATTCTGATTTGTTCTTGGAAATCTTTCGGCACCTGTGGAGTGGATAGGCCAGATGAATTAACTTATGTCGGCCACGAATTCCTGTAGACTCTCATTATGTCTCTGACTATGAATTTTTAGCAGGCTTTGAAATATCCGTTTCAAATGCTGCTGGCCATATCTTGTCTCCAAAGCTTGAACGAGAGATGTATAACTGTGTTCTTGAGAAAGTAACTGTAACACGGTTGCTGCTTGTCCTCGCAGCGACACTATCAATGCAGCCGCCATATCCGTTTCAGCCCAGCCATTGGCTCTAGCTGCAGCTTCAAATTGAAGGCGATACGTTTCCCTTGTTGTCTGCCCGTCAAACGTGGGTGGCTTAATGATCTTGCTAGTATAGATTTGTGAAACTGGGTGTTGAATATGGCTTGGTTCGATTACAGATGAGGACGAGGTAGTGTTTTCAGCTTCTCTGTTGCTTATCGAAGCTAGGCTACGAATTCTGTTTTCTAACTCAACTAGTTCAATTCTTATTTGCCTTTCGAACTCTACTCTAACCTTTTCCTGTTGTTTTAAATTATCTCGTTGTTGGTCTAAATTAGTTTTTAAATACTCTTGTTGTTGTTCTAAAAGATCTACTCTAATTTTGAGCTGACCTACCTCTTGCTTGAAACTTTCCTGAATTTGTATCAAACCATTTATAATTTCTACCTCTGCTTTCCTCCTTCTCTTTTTCCTCTTCCTTCCTACGCCTTTCCTTTACCTTCTCTTCTTCCTTCTTTCGTCTTTCCTTTTTCTCCTCTTCTTCCTTCCTACGCCTTTATTTTTCTTCCTCCCGCCTTACTCTTTCCTCCTCTTTTTCCTTTCTACGCCTTTCCTTTTCCTCTTCCACCTTCAAAAACCATGCTGGTGTTCCTGAATTATCCATGTCTGCTTCGTACTCAGTGAATCTAGTATTTACCATGAACTTTTACTTTTTATCCCACCGCTGTCACCAATATTATGCTGGTTTTTGGTATCACAATTTATTTTAATTCAACTTTTACAATAACTCAATTCAACTGATACAATAACTATAACTGATAACATTAACATGTAACGTCTATCATAAAACTGAAAAACTGACGTCAGGATCATCGACTTATATAGCTTGCCTTGACCTTCTAGAACCTTCTCGAACAATCCGGACTTTTCTTTGACAAGGAATGACATTTCGAGACATTTCTGGATTATTCTATCTTCTTTATTTACTCGTACCTTTACTTATGACGACCTCAGCACGCTACAGGGTGCTGCGTAACAATATAAACTGTTTCATTATGTTTTTTTTTTATTATAGAAAAGTTATTTGGAATTAAAATAGCTATTTATATAACCAGTTACGAAATGCCTTATTTTGTGTAACGAGTAAATATTTGCGTTTGTCTTGATTATTTATAAAAATCGCGTTTGGTTAAAAAATTATTTATCATCATTCTTTTGTAGGTACTTCCAATCAAATATTTCAGAAAATTGTTGTATTTGATTGCCCTACGACGTTTTTTTTTCAACAGTACCTAATAATAAAAATAAGGGACATGCGCAGTGTTGTTGATCTGATTTTTGACAGAACCCGCGGGAAAGTTGAAAAATAAAAGTTTTTACCCGTTATCCTCAAATGAGTACGTCAAAATTTTACCCTCAACATTTCTTGACAGTTTTCAATTATTTAAAGATTTTTCGATTTTTCGATTTTTCGATTTTTCGATTTTTCGATTTTTCGATTTAAAAACCAAAAAAGAGGCATTTTTATTTATTTTCATTTCGTAACTAGTGACATCATCAATTTTTCGTAATCAGTTGCATAATGTTCTACTTTGGCACTTGTTGCGATTACAAAATATGTCACTTTATATATCGAAATTAGAAAAACTTGTTTTGAATATCAACCCAGGCAGCACACATTAGTATAACTAACGTATTTTATACGTAATACTCGTTTAATTTTGGTATTGGTTGATTCCGTATACGTTTACAGTTTACGATTATTATACATACCGTGTTTTAAACGATATATTATACGTTTTTTATATACATCCTATGGCATATAATTGTAAATTTGTCTACGTTTAAATATAGTTAACAATATACGACTATTTTTAGTTTGCGATGAACTGTTTATATACAGTGGGCCTAAATATACGTTTGGGTTTATTTAAATTAAATTCGTATAAATTTACATTAATATACAATATGTTTTCTTCGTTTATAATTCCCGTTTAAATTTCGTCTTGGTTGATTTTTTAAACGTTTACCATCTACCATTTTTATACTTAACGTTTTTTAACAGATAAATTAAACGCTTTTGTTTGTCGATACTAGTTAATATACCTATATTATTCTACGTTTAAATATAAGTCACCTTAAACGCATAATACCAGTTTACGATGAACTAGTAGACAGAAGTAAATAATATGTATATATTTAGGTTTATTTAAATTAAAAGCTTATGGATACATTTATTTACATTACATCCACATTTTTTTAATTATATTACCTGTAATATTTATAACAAATTCCCCATACACATGGAACTATTTTTAGATGGCGGATGGAGGATGACGTACTAGTGGTACGGTCTTTTCTCATTTCTACTCATGCGTATGTGTAGTATTATTGTTCAGTGTAAGGAATAGTTTGTGGGAGCAGGTTCATCGGTTCGTCCATTTTCATTTATGTACACGTTTTGTGGCATGTTGGTTTGGCGTCCTAGCTTTTACGATATTGATTAAAAGCATAGGTAAGTTTCTATTAATGTTTTAATTTAGCTACTCCTTTAATAATTGTTGCATTTTACAACAACTACTGTTTTATAGGTACGTACAGTGTGTTAAATGAATATAGAAACTTCAAAACATAACCTTACTTTTGTTTCTTTTATTTTTTTACGTATTTTTTTTGGTTACCTAGTTATTTCAAGCATACTTATTATACTTATTTTCCTTTTTTTGGTCAGTTGTTTTTTATTTAATAAAATGTCTAAAATAACTCTGTCTCTGCGTCATCTACGTAGAAAAATAGTGCAAAATGTTCAAGATGCTTTAAAGTCAAATCAATTTTTTTTTATTCCCAATGAAGATAACATTAATAAGGCTTCGGACATTAATATATCATCTGATTCTATTATTTATAATAATTTCCAAGAAAATAATACGAATTTAATTTCGGAGCTTTTAGAAAATATTTCACCTGAAATTGAGTTAGATTTTCGTTATAGGAATGGGGGTGGACCAAGCGACTTAACCGACCGAACGATTAGGTGTGCCATGCAAGATTAGCTTAAGTTAGCTAAGGCCCGTCCAAAGTGTTAAGCTAAGATTTTTATTTTCATATATATTTTTTGTTAGTTAAAGAAAAGTTTCGTTTAGTTTGTTATTCAGTATTTTAGTGTTCATTTTTTTGTATTTATTTATTTTTTAGTATTTTATTGTTTATTTTTTTTAATTAAATATTGTTCTGTACATATAACAAGTGATCAAAAAATTTTTATAAATATTTAGGCCAATTACAACCAAAATATAAATACGAGTAATGCCTATTTCTGGTGTATACACACACCTGCTATGGATAAAATCCAAACTATCATTTAAGAAATATTAATATTTTTCCATGGCCTCTTTTAGAAATTTTGTTTTGATCACTTTATTTAATTTGTGTTTGAAATACATTTAAAACAATATCAGGTAGACGCATTTTACACATTAATAAAAATCATACAAATATATCTAATATAGACGTATAGTAAAACAGGATAATTAAAGGTAGATAAAGTAGTAATGTTAGACGTATAAAAAATAAAAAAAATATACGTTTATAGGACGGACATTTTCACGTATATATTGGGTAGCATATCAACAGTATCCATACGTATATTGTAGTACATAAAAAACGTATTTTATACCAAAGTGAATTCGTATAAATATACTACAACTATAAATCTAATATAAACGTATAGTAAAAATGTTTAATTATAGAGGATAAATTCTTAGTAATCGACGTTTATAAGGCGGACATTTTCACGAATATATTTGGTAGTACATCAACCGTATTCATACGTATGGTAGTACCTAAAAAAATACGTAATTTATACCAAAGTGTGCTGCCTGGGAAGTCATAGAAAATCTCCTTATAGTAGATAAAATGTATGTCTGTCTGCACATTGATTGATACACCTTGTAACTGGTATTAAATTCCAAATAACTTATCCATAATAAATGTAGTTCATGGGAAACATTTATATTTCTATTTTCTAAAATTGGACGCATCCTTTAAATACTGTTCCTCTTTTCTCCATTATTTTTATTTCGATAAAATGTTTTTTGATCAAAAGTCCGCGACTCGTTAATTATTATATCGCGTTATGTCATGTTGATCCCTTCTCACCTCCCTGTGTGTGTATAGTCTTGTTTATCAAAAAGGGAGCGTTTAAAAATAAACTCTTTGATTAATATAATTTAAACAAGAAATGGACGAAGATGGGAAATCCCTTATTCATGTATATGAAATGGTTACAATTTTATATTTAAAGACTTACCAATAGCATCATCCTCGAACAATTTGGATGATGGCGTTTCGCATAATTTAATCTAATAGTATCTCCAGAAATCATCCTATCTCTCCTCTTTTCTCTTCTTAACCTACAAAACTTTATCTTCTTCATCACTTTCCGTTTCGCTCTTCTCCAAAGATGCGCTATATATTTAATGATTTCTGCGTAACAACTAGTAGGTTCGCTATTATTCGTTGAAGAAGCTAGAGTACTAGTGCTTTGAAATCTAGCCCTTTCCAATCGCATTCGTTCCATTTCGCGTTTTTTCGTTTCAGAAAATTGAGTAGCAATAACAACGAGGCACAAGTTGATCATGAAAAATGATCCTATCTAAAAAATAAAAATAAAATAAATCACTTTTTTAGGACTACGAATTAAAGTATTATGAATATAAATAAGAAAACGTAAGTAATTACTACGCAAAAATTTAAATTTTATAAATAGTATGAAATTAATTAAGCCGTGGTTAAAAGATATAGCCCGTCGAGAAATTTTAGGATAAATGATTTAGGCAATTTTAGAAACTGGAATAATTAAGCAAGCGTATATCAACCATGCTGAATTGGGGTAAGCGTGGAGGAGAAGCAATACTTATTCTAAATAGTCCAGTCATACAGTGCACGTACTTTGTTAAAAATGGGGAGGAATTTTGGTTTATTTAATATTTCTGAGGAAACTACATTCAAATCTATAATTTTCCCTTAGACAGGGAAAGAGAGAGGACGCGTAACAAATATATCTACCACTTGTAATATTCTTTGCCGATTATCGATTGGCCGCCATTATTTTGGTGCTCAGTATTTCGGCGACACCATAGCTTTTAACTCGTATTAATTTATTATTTTTTAAATAAACGACATTTGATAATTAGTGTTAGAATAGTTTATTGTGTTGCATATCAGTGTAAAATTCGTAGCAACAAGAAATAACCAGATATTACGTTTCATAGGTAAATAATAAACATCAATCATTTATACTTTATATATTTTCTTATATTTTTCATTTTATTTAGTTATTATACAGCTTGGTATTTATACATGGCATATGCCTCACTCTAGACTAATAAATATTACTCAACAAGTTTATTTTATGCTTAATACATATTGGGTACAAATGTTTTAACTACAATAAGTATTTATTAGACGTAATTTACATAGTTTGAATATTGATCTAGGCGAAGAGTTGCACAACAGTAACTTTCTAGCCGATGGGACGCGGCTAAAACTTAAAATAAATAACTAATTTTAACCTACCCCGAATAAAAAATAAAATAAAATTTAAAATGCATTTTCAAGCCCCCTGGGGAGCGGCTAAATATTGATAAGAAAATACAATTTTTTATGTACTCTATAAAGTACACCTAAGACATCTTTTTCACAATACCCCTCCAAGAAAAACAAAAAAAAATGTTTTCGTTTTTTTTGGCCTACCCTAATAGCCAGGGTACTGATTTCATTATAGGGATGACTATGCTTGTCAACTGTGAAATCACAGATATTTTTTATATATTATTGTCTCCCTAAAATTAAAATTCAAAATATTATTCAAAATTTTTGAACGTTCATTAAAATATTTTGTTTTATCAATTATTTATTGTACGTGAAAGTGATAAGTGATAATAATAGTATTAAGCTATTAAATAAATCTTACACGATTTTACACGAATACAGGATTCATCATAGCGATAATTTCTGCATGATCTTTAACAAATTCCAGAATAGAACTCGATTCTTATTTTGATTTTAAGATCAAAAAGGTAAAGGACTCTAATAGTATTTTTACATGGGTAATTTTCTGCAAGGTCGTTATGTGTCACTGTATGATTGGACTATAAATTCTTACCGCAGTATTATTTGGTAATTATAATTGAAATTACTTAAAAAGTTCAATTTAAATATGCGAAAAATTGTATATAAATTATAATTTACGTTACAACAATGAAAAGGGTTATTTTGCAAGTTATGCGAAGCTTAAGGAGACGTGCAAACCACCTTCCTGTTAAGTAACTTACTATATTATTTCTACGACAGGCATTATAATTTGAATTGAATTGAATTTTTTTAAATAAATTTTTGATACGCTTGAAGAACAAATAGTTTCCGTAATCATTTACAATAAAATAAGTATAAATACAAACCACTATAAGAAGAACGAAGTAAATCCAGTCCCAAAAGCTGTGACCGTCTTGAATATAATACATAATTTCTGTCCATCCTTCTAAAGATATAACCTAGAAAATAAAATATATATGAGTAAATATATACATATTACATTGCATATTAATTTAAGAGAACAATTAAAAATATTGCAGAAATTAAAAGGTACCCAACAATGAATTTCCGGGATATTGCTTGCCTTTTGATGTAATTGAAGACACAATGAATGCGACGATTAAAATATAGAAGCCTGCTTTTGGTCTTTCAATAGTGGCCCAGCATTATGTTGGTTGATTTTGATGATTGTTTATGAAAAATAAGTAACCGTATTGGGTAAAAGCATGGTAAAAATTAATAGGCTTTTACCTTCTATTACCGTCAGGCCATGTTCGGCTAACAAGTTGGTCTTTCGTTTAAAAACAGTTAAATCGTTTTACTAGTTTTAGAAAAGAAGAATAATCAGAGCCAGAATACATACCCCATAAATTTATGTATGCTCTGTGTTGTATACAAATACATGTGTGTATTTTAGAGTTTTTAGTGCATGAAACTTAAAATTCATCTCGCCTCTTTAAATATGGATTTTCCGGAGCATAATAACTAAGTATTTTATAGGAATTCATTTTAAAACATGTACTTAGTGTTGATGAGTTTATCTAACCTATTCTCGGCCTTTTCATAAAGACTATTTTTTTAATAAACAAAATAGCAGAAGCTATTTATATCAGGAACATACATATTAGTCATATTAGTTAAAACGCCGTAATGACGTACTTAATCTAGTCGATTTAGATGACTTAACTGCAACAAATAAAACCGTTGTGTCTATTGTCTATGTTAAGGAGTACAGCAGTAACTATGAGTATAAAACATGTATGGAATATATTTTGTTTTTTTTTTTTTTAAATATGAAATATCAGAATAAAAATTCCAGTATCAGTATATTCTTAAAAACATTTTTTATTTTTGTACTCTTGTTAGCTGTGGGGAGAAAAAATCCTATGGCAAATAATGTGATTTCCACGGAAGTTGAAACTACAATAAAGCAATGGCTGAGATTGGCTTGCAAAAGAGAAAAACAAAAAAAAATGAATTATTGCCATTCCAATTTAATAAATATTAAAAAGTTTCTGTTTCGGTACCATTGTGGCAAATTGTATCGTGTAAATGATTATAATTATTCTATATTGAAATGCCCTTTGTATAAGTATGGAATTTATAGTTAAAATTGGGTTACTGGTCAAAGGGACACTATCAGTGGCGAAGCTAAGTTGATTGGCGCGGGGTATGAGACCCTAAAGTCACGCATATGAGAAAAATAAGGTAAATTTTTAATACCACAAAACTCTCAGAGAAACATACCTACATCATAATACAAGTATTTTTTTCTGAATTTATTTCGTGCGAAGATATCGATCGTATAATCAAGACCTAAAGCTTGAGCTCTGTCGTTTTCAATACTCAAAAGAGCCAGGCTACCAAATCTTAATGCAGAAGCAGTAGTTACAGGAATTGTTAAAACTAACAAAAAGTAATATACAAATTTTTAAAATAAACGGTGGCTATGTGATGATCACAAATCAAAAGTTTAGTGACATCTTTCACAGTGGCACATAAAAGAATTTTAGTTTTAAAAGTGGATCTAGGGGGGTGGGTTGGCTCAGTGGTTAGAGTCATGACTTTGAGATCGGAAGGTCTCAGGTCCGAATCCCACCGTTGGCCGGGATTTTTTCATTTAATTTAATTATTTAAAATTAATTCTGATGCATTGGTAGGATTCCCCACTCGACCATTCACTGTTGGGTTCTAATTAACAGTGCTGTTCCTAAAGTGGCGCTGGGAAACAGTAACAAAGCCTACACAGAACAGAGGCTAATGGCCGTAGTAGTCGACGCCGATGACACCAAATTAAAAAAAAAAAAAAAAAGTGGATCTAAAGTTTAATGTTTCGACTGCAAAATCAGATTGCGCCAAAATCTTCCTGGCGCCGGATAGCAGTAATGCCCTAGATGCCCCGGCACGTCTCTGGGCACTACCAAATCGCCTGTCTGGTCATATGCCTTTATTTATCAGTCAGTATTAATATAGTAATATAGTAATTTTCCCTTAACGTCCCATTAAAAGGCCATTAATTCCTAATATTTTTATTTTTACAGACATTAAAGAGGAAATAAGGGCCTATTAACTGGATATAATGTCTGAGCTACTTCGGGCCTACTGTCGACAGTAATGACCTATATATGTCGGCCTTTAAATTATTTATTTAAATTTATATAATTATGTGGCATTTAGAATACAATTTTAAAATTTTAAAATGTGGCTCCGGTGAGTGTTTTAGGTGGCCAGGGCCGACCAGAGGGGGGAGGGGGGAGTGGGGCAGGCGGGACAAATTTTCGTAGCCCGGCACAAGAGGTTGCCCGGCAGTTTTAGATGAGGATGTTTTATTTTTTTAGAACTTCGCCACCAAAGGGTTTCCTACAAAAAATACAAGGCGCGGACCTTTTTTTTAGATTTCACTAAAAAAGGATCTAAGTTTTTGCTTGATGACCTTTTTTTGGAAATGTGACAGAGAAAAGATTTATTTTTATAAAAATGTCCCGGGGCCCCACATGGTTCTCGGCGGCCCTATAGGTGGCGCTGCGATCATAATTTCTAATCCCCATAAAATGGGCTTCTTTGAGTGAAGCTAGTATACGATTAAGAATGGGCCATGTTCACATGTGAGATATGCTGTTTTATAAATTATATTGTAATAGTTAGTCGCTATACAAGTTATTCCAAATAGTCAGTTCGTTAAAAAAGCCAAAAGTTTTTAAATTAAGCCCAATTGAAATTTAAAATTTGAAATTATACGTCATCGGGAATAGACCAATCATCTTGTGTCGAAGTTTTTTTTGTTATACAAAACCAAGCCAACGAACAAACCGACACACAGAATGTCGAAGTGAACGCACATCTAAGTGACATTAACATTGACACCACCTAACCTTAGTTTTTTGTTTTGATTTAATTTTATTATTAATATGGATCAGCTGGATTTATAAAAGTTGAATCAAGTGTTTTACCCATTGTAAACGAAAATATAATTACCGAGATGATTACTGCATTTTTTAACAATACTCAGTTTACAAAAGTGAGGAAGGTAAGACTTTGTTTTAATAGTAGGTATTTACAGTTTATATGGAGCCAATACACCTTATAGTAAAACATATTTATCTCAGGTTTTATTTTTAGATCTGCCAAGCAAGAATATGGGGATAATTTCTTTTTCCATAAGAGAGAAGGAGACAAATTACACCTAAACATAAAGTACGGCAAAAACCTTCTGATGTGCTTGTTGTAATTAACAAAAATGAAATTTTTAGTGCACAATGCTTACGATTGCTGCATGTCAAGGTTTGTAATATTTATTATGCTTTTTTGTTTTTATATCACATATAATAAACAGTGTATAAGGCCTTTTATTTCTATAAATATTTTTTTTCTAATTTTGACATATAGACATTTTTTGTAATCGCAGCAAGTGTTAAAATAATCTAGAAATAGATTTTGTTAGTGAACCTAGTAATAATTATGATACCAAAGAATGCTGCAGAGCACCTATGAAATTTTGAGTTAAAAAATATGCCATATATGCCATATATTTTTTGCAAAACTTAAAATGCTCTGATAGCCTTCGAACGAAGTCAGCAAAGCACCTCTGTTTTATAAAGTTTTTTCTGTAAAAACAGCAACACCATATATTTATGCACTTGAAATATTATATTTTTAAAAAATACATGGTGCTTCTTGCTAACCTTCGAAAGAAGCCAGCAGAGCAATTCGGTTTTTTAAAGCTTTTTTCTAAAAACCACACCCCATTTTTGGACCCTTGAAATATTGTAAAACTTTACTAAAAAAATTGCTATTTTTAAATAATACAGGGTGCTTTGTTGGAACAAAGTCAGCAGGACACTTCAGTTTTTTAATTTGTTTTTTTATATATAAAAACAACTACTTATGACACATGTTTAGGCTGTTTTAAAATCCTAAAAATGTGGTAAGTATATTTGTTTTCAGAAAAAAACTTTGAAGTCAGCAAGGAATTGCGAATTTTTTTAAAAATGCCAAATTTCGAATATTTTATAATATTGTAGGAGCCAAAAAACGTGGTGTGGTTTAAAAAAAAAACTGGGGTGCTCTGCTGGATTCGTTTGAAGCTAACAAAGCATCCCGTAATTTTTTATTTTATAATTCTCAATAGCCTAAAAAATTGTACTTTTAAAAATAGCAGTTTTTTTCGAAAAGCTCTATATTTCAAAAATGTGGTGAGATTGTTTTTTTTTTAACTTTTGAAATTCCGAGGTTCTTTACTAGATTCGTTCAGAGCATTTTGTAGCTGGTTATATAGTTATTTTGTAACTGCATATCTCTTTTATTTTTTTCAGGTGGTTATAAACATGTGGCTTCATAGAAGAAGTGAGGAACCATCTGTAACATCTACTCAGTGTTATTGGAAAGGCTCTAATTTATCAAAATGCGTAAATATTGATGTACACTTGGCTAGATTGTTAAAGAAACCTCTTCATCCACTACAGGAAAATAAATCAGTACTTTTATATTCTTAGGATTCGTATATATATATTTTTTATTTGTAAATAAATTGTTTTTTACTTCATTTTTCTCATTTTTTATTAAAAGGTTGATAAATAAAATTTTCACAGATTTTTATATTTTTGTTTGTAAACAATAATTGAAAAGTTTTTATTAAAAATCGCCAATGTTAATAATAAGAACTTAAGTCAATATTATTCTTTCTCCTTTTTTAAAGCTACTATCAATAAAGGTATTACTTTAGCTTGACCTATGATCAATTTTTAATTTTGTGATATATTTGGTTTGACAGAAAAAAACTTATAACCTTTTGACATTGGTTTTTACTTAGATTTTCATAAAAAATAAATGGAACTGCAAACATGTTTTACTATCGTAATAACGAATAGCAACATAAAATTTTTTTTTTCACATTTATTACTGTTGTCATTTTCATAAAGGATTGATAAGAAGGCACACTTTCTGGTTTTTTGAAAAAGGT